TGCATCTCATGTTTTTAAATGAAAAATGTACTCTGTGTGATTGGCTTTCGGCCCTTTGAATTAAACTATACATACATACATGATGCTGTTTTGTTTCTAATTGTTTAAGAAACTTAATTATATATAGTTTATAAACATTAATTTAAACATTATGCACTTTTTTCAAAGATAGTCGTGTTATTTTATTGTTTTGAAGAAACGTGCATTAGTAATATTTTGCTCAATGCGCCCTCTTGTGGCCTCAGGAGAGAAGCCAAAAGCTTTTTCCCCCTAACTGAAATTATGCCTTTCAAATTTGAATATAATTAGAATATTTAAGTACAAAATTCGAATTTAGATTTTCAGCCATTTTGACAGCCCTACTGCAGAATCCTGTCAGCTCGTCCGCTTCCACCTCACAGCAAGCGGCGCTCACGCTAAGACCAATTCCGTCTGTGTTTTGACTTCAGTAAATCAGTTTTGGCAAATACAAACAACGTGATTATTTTTCATGAGTCCAAAATCCAACATGAAATTTTATTATTTGAGTCCCAATAAGATGGAAAATAGCAGTAAATTAATTTTCTGTTGTCTCTGGCGGTTTTCCCCATCCCACTGCATCTCATGTTTTTAAATGAAGAAAGTACTCTTTGTGATTGGTTTTCGGTCCTTTGTATTAAACTATACATACATACATGATGCTGTTTTGTTTCTAATTGTTTAAGAAACTTAATTATATATAGTTTATAAACATTAATTTAAACATTATGCACTTTTTTCAAAGATAGTCGTGTTATTTTATTGTTTTGAAGAAACGTGCATTAGTAATATTTTGCTCAATGCGCCCTCTTGTGGCCTCAGGAGAGAAGCCAAAAGCTTTTTCCCCCTAACTGAAATTATGCCTTTCAAATTTGAATATAATTAGAATATTTAAGTACAAAATTCGAATTTAGATTTTCAGCCATTTTGACAGCCCTACTGCAGAATCCTGTCAGCTCGTCCGCTTCCACCTCACAGCAAGCGGCGCTCACGCTAAGACCAATTCCGTCTGTGTTTTGACTTCAGTAAATCAGTTTTGGCAAATACAAACAACGTGATTATTTTTCATGAGTCCAAAATCCAACATGAAATTTTATTATTTGAGTCCCAATAAGATGGAAAATAGCAGTAAATTAATTTTCTGTTGTCTCTTTATGGTTTTGCCCTTTTTAGGGTTAACAAATACTTTTTTACTTTTTTAGTTATTTTATTATTATATCGTTTTCATATGGAAGAGTAGTGTTTCTGAAGCTCAAACAAGTGTTCCTGTAGTAGAAGTATCACTGCCAAGGCCATAGGTTTGAGTCTAGAAAATGCATGAACTGTACTATGAATGCAGTATAAGATGCTTTGGGTACAAGTGTTTTATGAACGCATAAAGTAAAGGTCACGATTAATTAAATTTGTTTAACACAGTCAAATGTAAGCAATGCAGGTAGCGCATTCATTCAGCTTGACATTACAGATTTATTCTGTGCAATGACTTGAAATAAGAGCACACATACAAATTCCATTTATCAGTAAATTACTGCTGGACTACTGATGTGAATGTGGGTATAATCTTATATTATGCTTTTCTTTCTTTCTTTCTTTGTTCTGTTTGTTAGTGGCTGCTCCTGACCTCCTTGATCCTAAAACAGCCATTCACAACTCCAAACCACGCCTGTCGTTCTCAGCTCAGCCTGTGCTGCTGAAGTCTCCAGATGACTTTGAGCCTCGTGTGACTGTTATGCGCTGGAAAACAGTGCTGAGCGTCTTCCTGCTGGTGGTACTGTACTTGATTGTCGGAGCAACTGTGTTTAAAGAGCTGGAGCAGCCTCATGAGACGTCCCAGAAACTGGCCATCCTGGTGGAAAAACTGGAATTCCTTGAGCAGCATCCATGTGTCAACTCATCAGACCTGGAGAACTTAGTGAAGGTGAAACAGCTGACATGCACACAAACCAAATATTGAACAAAACACATGTTGGGCTACTTGGGTTACACATTTTAGGTTTCTTATTTATCTGTCCCAAATGTCAGGTTATACTGACATTTGGGACAGATAAATGGCTCATTTTGCTGATTATTTTCATCTTTAAAATAAGAACATTTGATTTATTTTTGTTGATGAAAATAACATTTACTGGCCTGTCTGATCCTGGGCTGCGTTTCCCAAAAGCATCATAAACCAAAGGTTTACGAGAAACGCAGCCCTGTTCAGTTTTTGACAACTTATGTTGTGAAAGAAAGAAAGAAAGAAAGAAAGAAAACACTTTTTCACTGGAGAAGCTTTGCCTTCTGTTATAGACCCAAACATTAAAATTTTGCCTCCTGTCAAACCAGTCTCAGGATCAATCATACTAAATTGCTTTCATTACAATCAAGGAAACTGTCAATACTACAAGTGTGTGAATGAAGCTTTGTTGATTAAAATAAGAGCTGATATTTTGATGGGAGGAGAAATTTTAAAAACAACACGTGTGCCCACATGGAGAAGTATAGTGGAAGGAGGAACACAGCTGAAGCTTTTTTCCCCCTTCTAAAATGGTAAAGTTGGAGATTTGGAAATATTTTGGATTCCAAATAAATGCAAATGGATTGTTGGTTGAAGAAAATTCCTGGCACTGAAACAAAGGATTACTTCAAAATGTTTTGCTAGACTTGAAATTAAATAAAATGCACTTTACAATCATAAGAGGGAGTCTTTCCTCAACCACCACCAGTGTGCAGCATCCACCTGAATGATGCAACACCAGCTACAGTACGACGGCGCCAATGCACTCACCACACACCAGCTACAGGTGGAGAGGAGGAAGATTGTTTTGCCCGTTTCTGTTCCTGTTTTCCCTTATTTGGTCATGTTCCTGTCCTCGTTCAGTCTGATTAGTTTGATTATGATCCCCTGCACCTGTGTTTCTCCAATCTTCCCCTGTATTTAAGTCTATGCCCTTGCGTTCTGTGTTTGTCGGGTCTACAGGTTATGTTCGTGTGTCATTCCTCGGTCCTGGTGTGGAGTTTCCCCGTGTTTGTTCATTAAAGGACTGTTTAACGCTTCTCCGCGTCTCCTGCATTCCTTCCAGCAGTGAATCGTGACCGAGATAGAGCCAATTCAATGCATGGGGATTATTAGGAGGCCATGATTGACATGGGCCAGTGGAGGGAATTTGGCCAGGACACTGTGGTTATACCCCTACTCTTTACGAGAAGTGGCATGGGGTTTTTTGGTGATCACAGAGAGTCAGGAATTCGGTTTAACGTCTCATCCGAAGGACGGTCTTCACAACAATCATCCAGTACAAATCAGGAAGATAAAGGTAAGTTATGATGCTGTACTTCTGTTTTCCATGTTTTTGAATGCCAAATAGATGTGGCTCTTAGAAACAATTCACTGAGTGACAACTAAGACGCCAAAATAAAGTGAAATGTGCATGTAATCTGCAGCTTGATTGTATGTACAGCAGTTGAAGATGGCTAAAACTCAACTAACTGTGCTAAAGTTTGCATTTTGCATTAAAAATACTGTTAATCAGCTAATACTAAGTTGTGTAATTAATTGTGGCAGAGTAATGATATCAAGTTCAAGATAGAACACAACACAATTGTACATGACAGTGAATGAACTGTTTTTTTAAATATGTAGGTAATGCTATATTATATCTATACTATCCATGAAAAAATGCAATACAATACTGTTGTTGTACTGATAAAAAAAACAATTATTTGGGTAATAATCTGTAATTAAGTAATGTCAGTAAAAAATCTCTCTCTCTGTATGTTACTCTTACGATTGTGTGTGTAGTTTGCTCCTAACTGTTGTTTAGTCAGGGGACGCCTTCCCTGATCTGTTACACCCTCCCGGAGAGAAGAGAGAGGAAAGTACGTCACATGACATATTACAACACGCAGGTTTGCCTTTGTTAAACACACCAGATTAGGAGCGTGTGCCACTTTATGTACCTTTTGTTTTAGGGCAGTGTAGGTTAATTAGGGTGCGTGATGCCGAAGACTCGTGTTTCTTTTCTTTTTGTTTTCAGTCCGGACAGAGAGAAGTGTATAAGTTAGCACCTTATGTTTTGTTATTTTCTTTAATTTAGCACCGCTTTCTCTCTGTGGTTGGTTTTTCCTTTGTTGTTTTGATTAAGTATAGTTTCTTATGTATAGTTGTAAATAGGCAGGGTTGGGCAAAGATACATCAAAATGTATTTTAAAATAAAATACCAAATACCTTCATTTTAAGTGTATCAAAATAAACTACAAAATACAGCAGCCACACCATGTATCAAAATAAACTACTGTATTTTTGTATTTTAAAAATACAAAAAAATACTTTTACAAGGGAGCCTGAAATTTCTTCGCAAACCTTCCATCACTTGGCCTATTTGATCTATCCCTTCACCATTGCACTGACTCAGATGAGTCAGATTACGATCACAATGTTTGATAACAACAGCTTTTCTCTGCCCGAGTCATGCAATAAATCTGACCTATGCAATCAGTTAACAGATCAAATATTCACATATCCCAGATGACGGTTAGTTTTAAAGTAACCAACAGTTTAATGTTTTACAGTTTGCGAATGACTCCTAATTGTATCCTAATTTAGTTACTTGTTGTTTGGTAACGAAGGGCCTACTTTGCATCAGCAACACTGATTTAATGACAAACAAGTCATTCATAAGAAGACCACTGATGGCACCTGAATTCATAGCAAAAAGTTTCTAACTAATTAATCATTTGAATGTTAATCATAAATATTATAATATATTATGTGTCCGGTATGCAAAATCATGATCCTACTAAACAGCTACTTCAATTAGGGTACAATATTCAGCAATCAAACATTTATTTATCAATCATTGACATCTATTTGGAAGTTGAAAACAAACATTTTAGCTTTTCAACAATTATTAAATGATCAATATGCTTTGTTTTTGTTTTTAAATGTAGCCAGAAACGTAATCAGAATGTAGCAACAGAACTTGTCAAGGAGTATTAACCCAACTCCAACCACTGAATCTATTGAGAGCCATAGAAGTATAGAGGACATATACACATTAATAGTGTAGTAAGAACATTTACTTATAATCCAAAAGAGAATACTACAGAGCAGGTATTCCAAAACATTTGAAACGTTCTAACAGAAACAGTCAAGTGAATGTGGGTGTTTTTTTTTTTGTGTGTGTGTTAGGGAGTGTATTGAATGAGTGTGTGTGTAGCCTGTGGACTACATTGCAGAGGTCTCTTTAGCTACTGATGCCTTTAAGCACAACAAGTTTTTCAAAAAGTGTAGCATTTAGGCATCGTCGATGGGGCCGGTTGATCAGTCCAGCTAAGGACAATAAACGCTCTTCTGGAGCTGAGGATGGGATGATCATGTTAAACCTCACAAAAAAGGTGCTTGGGGATACTGCTCCAAAGATGTCAAATCCCTCTTTTTGACAGTCAGTGAGCACGCTTACATGCGTTGTAAGGTTACTGGTGTGCAAGTAAGCTGCGTTTACATGACTTCAATAATAAATCAGGTTATTTCCCTGTAGTGACGTCAAAATATAATCATTTGCGTATCTGACTCGGAGTATTCCATACATTTGTCAGTTGTGATGTTAAATTAAGCTTGCAACATGTCGGGAAACTTACAGCTCCTAAACTTACAGCTCATATATTATCCTCTCATGCAGTTATAAACGCAGCATTGTGACTGAACCACTTCTACTTCTGCTGCACGAGATGAGAACACATTTTTATCATTTTCTGAGTCATGAAAAAGTCTGCTTTTGTGATATATTTCTTTCTTTACTGCAAGACGTTTGCTCGGTCTAGATGCGCTTAAATCTGCACTAACCATGCGTTCCTGTCACGTATCACACATGCGCACTTCAATAAGCCGACAGAAAGCGGGTTATTGCGTTTACATGCCGTGCGAAATCGGAGTAAGAGGCAAAAAACTACCTGTTGCGACCGGTTTATGCTTACGAAGTTTATGACCTTATTCCGATAAAAGAAAACGGGTTACCGCGTTTATATTACCAAGTGCGTTTTCGGCTTAAGCGTAATCGCCTTAAGAACGTGCATGTAAATGCGCTCATTGAGATCTAGCAAAGGAACGAAACTGACTGCAATTGAGATCTCCTAAAGGATTTTACGAGTATATGCTTATTCTGTGCAATATATACTTTTGTCAACTTCAATTTTTTTTGTCAAATTGTCCTTCAACCTTGTACTGGTGCTTTAAGCTCGAGCTGCTGAGCAGCACAGCAAAAAATAGACTCTATGCCAAAACCGCTGCCGAGCTATAGACCATTACACCAATATCGTGGCATTAAAATGTAATGTTGTACAACACTGAAACGCTGTATTATTTTTGTGTACAACCGACGAACTTAACAGGCTGAAAGTAACAAGCTAACGTTAATTGTGGGGCTGCTGCTCGGTATAATGGTTTTCAAGAACATTATGTAAATTGGTAAACTATTTAGCCTAGGCTACTAAAACGAACAAACTTAACATGAACTGTTAAAAATTATAGCAACTTATGCAAAAAAATTGATGGAAAGCTGACAGCCTGCACGTTTCTTACCTTGACCAACTTCTTCCATATGCATCAATTTTCTGTTCTGATCTCAACAAGTCTGGGCAAACTAGCCTATTGAGTAGGCACCCATCAGAGGCCACATTTTTATGATGTCATCATACTTCTTACAAAGTATTTTACAGTATTTTAAAAATACAAAACACTATAAAGTATTTTGACAAAATACGAAGCCATTTTCATCAACCCTATCAAATAAAAATTACAAAATACTATTTTGTATTTGAAATACATGTATCATAAATACTGCCCATCCCTGTAAATAGGCTCATGGGTTATTGTACGATTTGCACTTAGCTTTTACATGCTGGGTTGTAAATTCTTCTAACCTGTTAAAAAAGCGACCCACCTTTATTTGTTGTGAAACTTAGTTTTGTTGGCTTCGGTCATTCCCTGCGTTCCTCATTTGTGTGTCAATAGTAGGGGTGTTTGTCTGAGTGGCCTTTATGTGCGTTCCCCTATTCCCCTAGACCGCCACACCATTAGGGGACGTAACCCATACCAATTGGAAAAACGAATGGAATGCATAGTCGATATAAAAAACTGGATGATGAGTAATTTCTTACTGCTAAATTCTAAAAAAACAGGTGTTAATTATAGGACCAAAAAACTCTGCACGTAATAACCTAGAACACTGTCTAACACTTGTTGGCTGCTCTGTCAATTCTTCGTCATCGGTTAGGAATCTAGGTGTGCTATATGATAACAATCTTTCCTTTGAAAGCCACGTTTCTAGCATTTGTAAAACTGCATTTTTCCATTTCAAAAATATATCTAAATTACGACCTATGCTCTCAATGTCAAATGCAGAAATGTTAATTCATGCGTTCATGACCTTTTGTGTGCCATATGCATCAGACGTTCAGCCAACGGTCCAAGGGCGTGACGTCTGAGGCTATATAAAAATAAAGTCAACTTGACTAGGTTAAAGGGGACATAACACACAGTTTTGACCAATCTCATGTTAATCTTGAATACCTATAGTGTAGTATTGCATCATTCACATCTCCGAAGAGTCTTCAGTTTTATCAGATTTATAAAAGAAAGATACAGCTTGCGATTCTCTCCGAAAACAGCCAAGCTCCTGGAGGCGAGCCGTGGGTGGAGCTGAAGAGTCGCGATCACTTACACTTACTAACAATCACAGACATTTGTGATGTCATCATCCAGCTCAGTTCAGTTTAAATTGTATCTGTGCAATCAAGTCAACGATATCATTTCCAGCGATATCGTTGACTTGATTGCAAATTATTGCAAAGATACTATTTAAACTGAACTGATGATGACATCACTGAATTCAATGATGAACTGCCTTTAACTGAAAATTGAGTGTTTACTATTGTCCTTTTGCATTATTGAGACAATATTTTCCTAATTAATGCTGTACAGTTGCTTTGACACAATCTGTATTGTTAAAAGCGCTATATAAATAAAGGTGACTTGACTTGACCATTTCTATTTTGTCCTGTTTTACAGAGTGGCCATGCATTTAGTGCTGGTTCATCTTTGGCTGAAGTCCGTGATCAGCCAATGATTAAAGAAGCATTCCAGCATCAGGCTGCATATGAACCCTAATCTGAGTCGAAGAAATCAGTCAGACCATAGCAAATTGCATTGCTAAGGACATGATACCCATTCACACAGTAGCAAAATCAGGATTTGAGAAAACCGTTGAAAACTACAGTTCCACTATTCAAATTTCCCACACAGAAGTAGTCAAAGACAGTTACCCAAACATAACGGTCTAAAATTCTAAAGGCCTGTGGCCTAAGGAAAATGGTATGCAGCAACCACTGACCTATGGACCAGCAGTGAAGGCATTGATCAATGCATAAGGTTCATAATTCACTACCTCAAAGATTGAAAACTTCAGTCCAATTGACTTGGAGACAGTAACATGTTACAGGAGGGACATCAACAAAATCACCAAAAAATCCTTGAAATAATCTTTTACAGATGCATGGCTTCAGAGAGCAGAGTAAGACTGTCAGCATGATGCCGTTGCTAGGTACCATGCTCTCAGACATTCTTGACATGAAAATGAAGACAGTGCTTTTCCGATGACTTTGAGGCCACGGTCAACTGCTGAATTGAGGAAGCCTCAAAATTGACAAAGATGACAACACTGAGTGAGAGAGCTGTCCATGCAGAGCAAACCAGCACAGCCTATCCTCCTCTGAAAGGCAGTGCCAAAGCTTGGCCACCCTGCTCAAGAAAATCACCTCCACAAGGCAACAGAGGAAAGAGAAGGGTGAAGGCAGCAGCGCCCTGAAGACAAAGGCGGAAGCTATACCTTTCTGTGCCACCAATAAAATGAGTCAAATGCATGCACCGCATCTAGATGCAGTGGTGGTATTTGCATGCTGAAGAAATATCTCATCTTGCTGCTATAACTCAGAAGTTCCTCTGCATTCCATTCTCTGCATTCAGAGAGTGTATAGTGCCAGTAAAAAACAGTTATTAAACCTTTTTTAAGAGGACAACTCTGAAATTTGCAACCTGTTTTTCAATTTCTTTTTGTAATGATCAGAAAAGACACCAAGATAAAAACAGCAAATATGTTATGAAATATTTCATATCTTCACATGCCTACAACAATCACATTCAGGGACATAACAACAATTACTGGAAATGTGTGGTTGCTTCCACAGTTGCTCCTAAGAACAGGTCCCTCGTCCTCGCTTTTTACCTTTGCCCACATTATCTTCATCAGAGTGGCACTTTATGTGACATTGTATTGGCCTTTCCCTCTTTGATGCAGAGAGACAGGTTACTAGATTCAATAAAGAAACTGTCCATGTATGGTAATGCATTAACACCCACAACGTCTGTGCTGAATGTAATTTGCATGGCGCGGTTCTTGTAGGTCGATTCTGAGTACAGTATTTTAGAGGATGCAGCAGTACCATTTCAGTGGTGATTGCACTTGCTTAAACCAGTCTGTGGGTGGTTAGTATAATATGAATATTTGTGTGCTAAAATAAAAAAATATTTAGTTAATTGTTGCTCAGACAGATGCAACAGGTAATTCTACTGTGGCTTTGTTTGTAGCTATTTTCATTGGACTTCAGACATCAGCGTGCAATGAAAAGAAGATAAGCTAAGTCATTTATGTCTTTAGATATTTCCTTTATACAGCGCTTGGGTTTAAATTTTCTTTCCCTTTGTTGAGTCTAAGGCCCTGTCCACACGAACGCGGTTATTTTTAAAACTGCAGCGTTTTCTACGCAGTTTAACCGTTCGTCCACACGCAAACACAGCACCAGTTCACTGAAACCGAACATTTTTGAAAACGCCTGCCTGGGTGAAGATTTTAAAAAAACTCTGGTTGCAGTGTTATCGTGTAGACAGCGAAACCGGAGTTTTTGGCTTGTGATGTCGGCGCCTGCGCTGTTATTTCCGCCTACTGGAGACTTTTTCAGGCTTCTGATTGGCCAACATGGCTTTACGGTTGAGATTATATCGCCACCTGTTGGATTGGTATGCTCTTGACAGTGCTTCATAACATGCATTTGCGTTTTCATGTGGACGGAGATTTTTTTTAAAACAGGAGGAAAAACTCATCCGTTTATAAAAATACCCGTGTACGTGTGGACATGGCTTAAGAAAGCTCACAGATCTGTTTGTGTTCTAGTCACACACACACACACACACACCTCACAGACGTTTCAGTCCTTGCTTAAGTGTGCTACTGATTGCTACTTCAAACAGCACACCTGAGGCTCTTTGCCATTCAGATAATAGATCACATGTGTCACAGTGGAGCTGTCCATGGCCCTGATCACCTCCATCATCCAGCAGTGCACCTAACGGCTCAATCACAAAAGTATACTTAGGTTTTTTTTTTTCACATAAGCTAGCATAGACTGGAAGAGGTTTTACTTTCCATGGTGCTGGTGGAGTGATCGATGCAGGCTGATTACAGGAGATAAGTGTAAATATGTATAGAATAGAGACCTGAATATTGATGGGGTAAAATGCATGTCTCACACATGGCAGAAGTGTGCATATTAGTGGAATATTTTGATATTTTATGCAGACAACTTGTTATGGGTCACAACCATTTTATTTAGAAAAAAATGTTTGCACTTTAAATGTGTGGACATGCTGAAGCTCCAGACATGTGTTCTACAGATCAAATCTTATTTCTCGCAGTCATTTTATCACAAAAAATGAAGAAATAATCACATTCACCAAATTTTTTTTTTTTTCATGCAACTGTGAAAGGGATTTTTTTTAATGTAAGAATATGTGAATTTTACTTTATATATTTGTTGAAATACAGTACTGCATTTAACTTCCTGAAAATGTGACATGTGAAGTTTGTGGATCTGTGGCAATTTCAAAACATTGCTCTCTGTTTGTTTGAGAGGTTCAACATATAAACTTCCTGCTCAGTCAGTTGCATGATATAAGGGGTGGGACTACCAGTCTGGCCAACCAATGACAGATAGGGAGGTTTGTTTTTTTAAATCTGCTTAGAAACGGTCATTATTTTTGTAATTTCAATTGATGCTACTAGTCTGTTAATCATTAAATATTTTAATATGTCATACACTGAGGCAGAAACAGTTTTACTTTGAAATGTGTGTGAACATATGGATATTTTTGGAATATGTGTAATAATAGAAACCTTTTTCTCTTATCACAGCAAGTGGTGTCAGCATTACGAACAGGAGTGAACCCTTCAGGAAACTCATCCAATCAGAGCAGTTTATGGGATCTCAGCAACTCCTTCTTCTTCGCTGGAACAGTTATTACAACCATAGGTAGTAAAGGACACACACAAGCATACATGCAGTACGTGAGCCATCACACTATCTACTACTTGGGCAGCAGCAGCATCTTTTTTGACTTTATCCATTGTTTCTGTTTAAGGCTCATAAGAACAGTGATTGTTCTCAACATGTATGTTAAAACTGCCGGAGTAAACCAAAAGGCTGCAATCTGAAGTCAGTTTGAGTTTTTTTTTTAAGATGTCAAGCAGTGGATGTAAGCTGACAGATGGAGCTGAGTCTGCTCAAAAGCATTAACAGTTAAAAATCTTAAATTTATGTCAGAGAAATTGAATGTTTGTTGCCCACAGCGGAAGAGCAGCTAACAGATTGCTTAGCGCATGCAAGGCAATTAAACATGCACTTTATATAGCATAAAGCACTCACCTTTCTTGGAAAAGAATGCTGTTATCCTCTGGACCTCTTTAGTCCTTGTTGCATCTTTCTCTTCTTCTTCAAGTGCTTTTAGTGACGAGATTAGTGTGTTTTTGTGCCTGATGTTATATGATGATCTTCTTTAGCACTATTCAAATAGTTTCAATTCTTATAATCAATTATAATTTATTTTTTCATTAAATTTTTTTTTTTTTTAATGTTTTAGTTTTGAAATGTTGTTGTATGCATTTGTAATTTGTATTTAATTTCTTTTATTTTCTTAAATGTGTGTATATATATATAGTATTTATAGAGTTTTAGCTTTTAGTTTTAATTACTTTTTCTTATTTGTAAGTCGCTTTGGATAAAAGCGTCTGCTAAATGACTAAAAGTAAAAAGTAAATAATCTGACGTCTGCAATTTCATGTACCAATTTGGATGGGACTAACATCTCCGTGTTTATTACAGAGGTGGGTGTGTTTTCTAGATGTGATGTGGTTGCATGCGTCACATACGGCGTATATGTCTAATGAAATATGTATTAATATAATTTAGTTTATTACAAAAACTTAATTTAAATAGACTTCACATTAATTTATTGAAGTGGCCGATAAAAATAAACCCATGTAAGTGAGCAGTAAAATCTAGACAAGTATCTTACCTGACGCTGATGTTAAAATGACCCGTCTTAGCATTTTCCGTGATTTTTATCTCTCCTTATTAATTTTCTAATTGAATTTTTTCGTCGGATACCATCCATAGTGAAAGGTGCAGCATGTGGAAGACTGGTGCGCAAATGGTAGCTCAGGTAGGCCAAAAAACACACGAGGAGAAGCACTGGCATAATACAATATCAGCAATCACAGACATTTGCATTCGGACGGGATTCGATTTCTCAGAAGACCATTGAGTTTTTGCCGAAAAACAGTAGGTAATTCGGCTCTGGAATTTTTACAGAGGTTGTGTGAGAAAAACACAGACTTGGCAAATTTGTATGGGATTAAAATCACAAAGTGGGTCTGTGAAACACAAATTTCTCTAATGTTCCCGTCCGAATAGGGCTTTTGGCTGAATTTTCCCCAGTCGCACAGGTTAGGTTACCTGTCACACTACAGTGAGATAAACGCATGAAGAAGATGAAGATGAATGCAAACAGTCTTTAATAAATCCACACAAGGGTAAATCCAGGACAGAACAGGCAGGAGCACACGTAGGGACGAAGTAGACCGGACCGGGGAACACAGGACAGACTGGGACTAAAGTAGGGGTGCTAATGAGGGACAGACAGGTGAGGAGCTAATGAAGTCAACTAATGAAGACACAGGTGTACTGACTAACATAATCAGACATGGGGAAAAACTAGGTCACAGAACACATGAGGAATGAAAACAACAAAAGCAGTCCAGGGGTGTGACATTTCCGCTCATGCAGGGGACAGCTGGAAACTGATCATATTTACAGTATCTTACTTATGAACATTTACAATAAGGACAAAGTGAGCAAAAACATAGTGACACCTCTGTCTGGAACTCATAACCACAAGCCAGCAATGTTTGATTTAGTCTTATACTTATAGGTTTTGAAAGAATAAATTGTAACATTCTGAAAATTGCACACTATAAAAGGTCCATGAACTGGACTGAAATGTTCGAATTTTTGGCTGTATTTCATGAACCAAGTGTCATAGGAAGACTCCTCAGCTCATGCTCTTGAGAGCCCACATCCACTTATGTATTCCTACCTATTTTTTTTTTTTCCCCTATCATCATATCATATTTGAGTTCTTGAAAATATTCTGTTGCCAAGTACGGTGGCTGTAGTAAAGCACACAGCGATGGAGTAAAATAACAAACACAGTCTTAAAGGGATAGTTCGCCCAAAAATGAAAATTCTGTCATTAATTACTCACCCTCGTGTCGTTCCCAACCCGTAAGACCTTCGGTCATCTTCGGAACACAAATTAAGATATTTTTGATGAGTTCTGAGAGCTCTCTGACCCTCCCATAGACAGCAATGTAATTAACACAATCAACATCCAAAAACATAGCAAGGAGATCGGTAAAATAATCTATGTGACATCAGGGGTTCAACCGTAATTTTACGAAGCTATGAGAATAATTTTTGTATGCAAAGAAGACAGAAATAACGACTTTATTCACAATTCGTCTCCTCTGCGTCACCCTGGTGCCATTTTGGAGAGTATCCACTGAACGTAAACAGTGTATGCTGTTTGTGTCAGCATTTTACATTGTTTACATTGTTTACGCTTTGATTTGAATGAAAACAACATATCCACGTGGCGCAGCTGCCACAGAACAGCATACGCTGTTTACGTTCAGTGGATACTCTCCAAAATGGCGCTAGGGTGACTACCCTTTAAATAAATCCACAAAGAACTCCCAGGAGATCGTAGGAGAAACGTAACCACATCCACATACAAGCACTGATGAGTTCAGACAATGAACTAAGGAAACTAGCTTAAAGCTGCAGTCCGTAACTTTTTTGTGTTCAAAATTTACAAAATGTATATATTAAGCGATTACACCATGAATCCATTTTCCAAACCGTGTTTTTGGCTTGTGCTGAATCACTACGGTACACCTATAATAAGTGTTTATATTCGGACTGTTTTAGACTGGTTTGGGTAGTTACCGCTGCGGAGTAGCCCAGTACCTGCGTGATTCGCCATAGACATAAACAGAGAGAAGTAGCTCCGGCTAAAATGTCCTTCCGCAAGACGCACGCAGTTCTGTTTATTAACCGCTAGAGCGCCAAAAGTTACGGACTGCAGCTTTAAATACACAGAGTATGCTTAACTGAAACAGAACATGTGTGAACTAATTAGGAACTAAGGAAACTCAGGAAGGAAAAACAGGACAGAACACAGAAAACTCAACCAAAACAGAACATTACCCTGACAGCACGTTGTTGCTGGGTTTTTATTATTTAATTTAATAAATATTATAATTAAATTAGTTATTATTTAATAATTCAAATATATTAATTATAAACTATTGCTATTATGATATTCTCTTCAATTAAAATATAGACATTTAAATAATTCATAGAATTATGTAGTGTAATTCAGATGTATTATTAAATGTAAAAATAAATAAATACAACTGCAATATAAATATTTGGTTTAGTGTTTTACATTACCCAAAATTGGCAGTTGACAGCTGAGATATTTACTGTCCCCCGGGGTGTTTCTTGCCTCAAGTAGGGAGTCATCTTATCCCAGTAGTTGGGCAGGATTACCCCCTTTTGTGATTTTCAGTTTGTTAATTAACATATGTTTCAATTTATGTCCCCTTATAATATATTCGATGAAGTATCATCCAATACATGCCAGTCATCTCTAAATATCCTTTGATGTTGTTTCAAAATCTTTTGGAATTTTCTGAATGACAATCTGTTGTCTGTAAAACACAATGTACTTGTGAGACGCAGATTCTCTGAGTGCTTGCATAGTTGCTGTGTTCATGCTGCTGTAATCAATCACAAGTAAAATGGCATTTTTCGCACATGACTGACATTTAAGTAACGGATAGTGTACGTCCAGTAGGTTGTTATTGCAAAATAGACCCCGAAATGAAATGGAGGGTCTTGCATCACCTTGAATTATTCTGCCATTATCCTGCTCATAACATGGCTACTTAAAAAGTTCCTAACAAACTGCTTTGAGATTAGACGAAGTTCAGTCAAGGCAGATATTTAAGGTGTAATGTACAGTCGCATCATTATTTACACAGCTTTTCACCACTTTAATAAAGATGGACATAAAATGTAATTTAATAAAAAGACTTATCTTACCCATTTATTATCTTAAATCCATTGCGGTGTATAAAACATTCAGGTTTTGGAGATTTTTTTGTGTGTTTCATCACTTCTTTTATTGCCCAATTGAGTTTTTAATCATCACATCTCACCTTGTCTCATTAAGTTACATGATCGTAGTAAACAGCTTGTCTGTCTGTCTGTGTCTGTGTGCGTGTGTGCGTGTGTGTGTTTGCGTGTGTGCGTATGTGCGTGTGTGTGTGTGTGTGTGTGTGAGTTAAACTAAAGACAACCACACATGAGGTGACAACAATTTGTACAATTTTGAAAAAGTAATTTCTCAAATACTTTTTGAGTACTTATTGTTATTTTCCTTTATTCACTCCAGGATTTGGGAATATCTCACCTCACACAGAGGGTGGACGCATCTTCTGTATTATCTATGCCCTGTTGGGAATTCCTCTGTTTGGGTTCTTGCTGGCAGGAGTGGGAGATCAGCTTGGAACAATCTTCGGAAAGGCAATTGCTAAAGTGGAGGGGATGATTGATGTGAGTTAAAGCAGTTTTTACATTGATATTAAGTATTAGCTCAGTCAGTACAAAACCATTTTTACATGTATGTAATTTACATCAGACATTATATAATTGACGTCAGAAATAAGTACAAATGATTCCTAATTGTGAAGTTGACCAGTAAAGTATTTCCTCTTGTTATAAACACAAACTAGGCTCATTGGAAATACGTGCCTCTATATACATGTCTGCAGAACTGAAAAAAACCATACCGATATGTACGAATCACTGTAGTTTCCAGCTGAAATGAACACTAGAGTCAGTAAAACTCTGACAACTTTTATGCCTTTTTTACACAAAGTATGATTTACAGGTACAGAGTTTTGATTAATGAAGGCTAATTTTCACACAATTACTTGCAGCATATTGTTATGACTTCAAAACAATTTTAACATCCTGTGCGATTTGAAAACTGATACTTTTGAATGTTGCCGTCACATATACAGCTTCATGTGCATGAGTTTTCTAATTTAGTAGGTTTGATCGGTAGCTCACTTGCACTTGAGTGATGAAGAGCTCCTGCACGAACTCCGTGAAACTACGGTTCGACAAAACAGCTCAAATCCGCATAAGGAAGTTAAAATAGCACGGCTGCACCAACAAATGCATTTTTATATCATTTTTGCATTTCACTATCGGGTAGGTTTAGGGTTGGGTTTGGTGTAGGGGATATATTCCAACACGATAGAGCATTAACCTTTAGCGACACTCAGCCGCAATATGTACCTCAAGCAGCGTAATAAAAACGCAGCAATTCGTGATTACCTGCAAAGTTCAGCTCCAACCCTGATCAACCACACATGAACCAGCTAACTGAGATCTTCATGAGCACATGATTAATTCCAGACAGCTGTGCTGGCGCAGGACTGGAACTGAACTCTGCAGGTAGGTACAGTAAATCTCCAGGAGCAGGATTGTGCATCCCTGAAAAGTGAATACACCTGTGATCACAGTAATAATAGTGAGTACATCTGTGATTTTCTAACTGCGTGAATATGGTGAGAAAATGGGCTGTGTCTATCAATGTCTGTGTTGTGACATCCTCCATAGAGGAATTGAAATATCTGATTGTGAGACTTCACAAGCCATTTCATTAAAACAGGTCACATTTATCAAAGTGGACACTTCAACTAGATAGCTGATAGATTTTTCATTTAATATGTAACACAATAACTACTGAATATTAAACTATTAAAATGAGTGAGTCAGAGAATGAGAACCATCAGAAATATAAATAAAATATAAATCGCTGATTGAGATATGTGACAAAACCTGTCCCACAATTTAATCTGCTGTTGCTTTTTTAAAATACCAGTTTAAAATAACACACTTTAAAATTAATCACACATGATAACTAGAGTGTTCTTAACACAAATATTCCATTTCGTCTTCTTTTCATTTAATTACATTACATTTTAATTACTCCCTCTAACTCCCCCATCCTGACAGCATAATGCAATACCTATTAAATGTTTATTTGACTTAGGGCACTGCATGCTGAGGGTCCTTAGTATTCAATATTTCATACTGCCTCATTTTTACAATTATATTTATAAACATCTAGTGGTTTTGACA